TCGAGCCCGGGTCCCTCAGAGCGGTGGGCTGCCACCTTGGCCTCTCGACCATCCGGCCTCCAGAGGAAAAGGCTGACGCTGTGTATAAAAAAAAATAATTTATAAGTAATCTAAAAATTTAACTTATTTTCATTTTTAACTAATACAAATTACGAATAAAGCATTCGTAATTTGTAACTTTGACCAGAAAATACCATAAATTGAGTTCCGCCATTGGCGCTGTTCGTCGTAGCGGCATACTTTAAAACTAAAATTCGGGGCTAGACGCTTGTTTACCACTATTGCTAGTTTACTACTATAATAGTTTGTTCTGTACAGTATCTAATTTGGCTAGGCAAAGAAATTAGGCTAAGCCAGGGGCATCTGCAGAGGGGGAAAATGGGATACTTGCTCTCCCCTGGGATCAAATAATTCCATAAATTATAATTGTAAAAGTGATTGAGATATGTAACTGTACTCCCTCAAATATGGGACATTTTGTGTCTTTTGTATTGATGCAATACTGTATTCTATAATCTACACGTGGTCCTTGTCATTATGATCATTTACTGATTGGCAAATGTGTCAATAAAGTTTAAATATTCCACGAATGCATCCTAGATCATCAATTTAATCTATCACAAAAAAGTTTTTAAAATTTATTTAATCAGATAAATTTAGCAATATTAGCCAGCTTAATCAGTTATTTAGCTAACCACCTAAAAGGGGGTTTTTGGACTAATAAGCAAATTGTTATGTTCTTCCAATCCAACTGTTTACTGGAATTTAAGAATTACTCAGAAGCAATTTTAATTTCCAGATGTTTTATTTACAGTATGTGCATTTCGGATCCAATGTTTTCGCCGATCCCTCCTCAATCTACAGAGAATAAAAATTGTTTGTAAATTTACAATTAAAACATTTTTAAATGCAAATATAAACAAGTAAATAACTTACAATATTTATGCAAATATTTGTGGCAGTACGCTATGTATTTTGTATATAATTTATATTTTATTTTAATTAGCTTTATTTTTCTTTCTACGTTTCTTTCTCCCCCCCCTTTTTTTCTCCTTTCTTCGTTCTATGGTCTACCCTCTATGGAGAGTCTCTCCCCGAAATTCCTTTACTCATTGGCTATCAAAAACACCCTAAAACGAGGTGAGGGGTGAGGTAAGAGGGACGAGAGGGAGGAATGAAGTGAAAGGAGCGGGAGGAAGGTTTTGGAGTGTACGTGAGACGAAGGGAGAGTCTGAGAGACAGACAAAGAAATATCCATGATAGACCCACAGAAATTAATAATGAATCTTCACATCGTAACTGCCGACAGTTATGTGACTCGAAGAAAAAAGAGAGATCCTTCCAACTTTACATAAGACCCTCACTAAGGACATTGCAAAGAGAAACAATCTTTGAAGGCCTTACATACTAGCATTGGGTACCCCTTTTCTGAGTTCTAACTTTCCTTTACCTATCCCCTATCTTCTTACTTTAGTTAATATTAGTTTAAGTCTTATTTGTTATTAGTGTTTAAGATAATTTAGATTTTTGCGCGATGATTTTCAATAATGGTTCTTTATGTCGCGTACTATGATTTGTGATTTTGTTTGTGTAACCTTGTTCGCGATTCTGATTGTTTCTAACTGTCGGGACATAAAGTTAGCACTGGCATCCTAAAGAAGCCTGTAATTAAGCAAAAAGGACAACTTTAATTAAAGTTGTTCTTTGCTTCCACGTGTCTTCCTTAAAAATGAAAACTACATACTTTCACAAATTTTACAATAGATATATCTTTGCCATAGATGGTATCTATTGTAAAATATTTGCATAAATATTGTAAGTTATTTACTTGTTTATATTTGTATTTAAAAATGTTTTAATTGTAAATTTACAAACAATTTTTATGCTCTGTAGACTGAGGAGGGATCGGCGAAAATGTTGGATCCGAAATGCATATAAATAAAACATCTGGAAATTAAAATTGCTTCTGAGTAATTCTTAAATTCCAGTAAACAGTTGGATTAGAAGGACATAATAATTTGTTTATTAGTCCAAAAAATCCCCTTTTAGGCAGTTAGATAAATAAATATTTATTTACAGATACTTTTAAATCAATGAATTTTGGAATATGAAATATTATAAAATTTCATATTAAATCTAATTTTAAGAGAAACAATTATTTTTAATTTAATTTTTAAAATTTCTGATTTTTATCCAAATTTTAAAATTTTAATTAAATTCNCTCATTCCGCCCTGTGGGCACTAAGAGGGCCTCTTTTTGAAAGCCCATTATGGGTTCGGCCATGCCCACAATGGGGCTGCCGGGTGGTAAGGGACGGGGCCCGTCATATCCGAACGGACCACCCCCCGAAAAATTCCTGAGGATTTTTCGACCCGTTCGGTTTCGAGCCCGGGTCCCTCAGAGCGGTGGGCTGCCACCTTGGCCTCTCGACCATCCGGCCTCCAGAGGAAAAGGCTGACGCTGTGTATAAAAAAAAATAATTTATAAGTAATCTAAAAATTTAACTTATTTTCATTTTTAACTAATACAAATTACGAATAAAGCATTCGTAATTTGTAACTTTGACCAGAAAATACCATAAATTGAGTTCCGCCATTGGCGCTGTTCGTCGTAGCGGCATACTTTAAAACTAAAATTCGGGGCTAGACGCTTGTTTACCACTATTGCTAGTTTACTACTATAATAGTTTGTTCTGTACAGTATCTAATTTGGCTAGGCAAAGAAATTAGGCTAAGCCAGGGGCATCTGCAGAGGGGGAAAATGGGATACTTGCTCTCCCCTGGGATCAAATAATTCCATAAATTATAATTGTAAAAGTGATTGAGATATGTAACTGTACTCCCTCAAATATGGGACATTTTGTGTCTTTTGTATTGATGCAATACTGTATTCTATAATCTACACGTGGTCCTTGTCATTATGATCATTTACTGATTGGCAAATGTGTCAATAAAGTTTAAATATTCCACGAATGCATCCTAGATCATCAATTTAATCTATCACAAAAAAGTTTTTAAAATTTATTTAATCAGATAAATTTAGCAATATTAGCCAGCTTAATCAGTTATTTAGCTAACCACCTAAAAGGGGGTTTTTGGACTAATAAGCAAATTGTTATGTTCTTCCAATCCAACTGTTTACTGGAATTTAAGAATTACTCAGAAGCAATTTTAATTTCCAGATGTTTTATTTACAGTATGTGCATTTCGGATCCAATGTTTTCGCCGATCCCTCCTCAATCTACAGAGCATAAAAATTGTTTGTAAATTTACAATTAAAACATTTTTAAATGCAAATATAAACAAGTAAATAACTTACAATATTTATGCAAATATTTGTGGCAGTACGCTATGTATTTTGTATATAATTTATATTTTATTTTAATTAGCTTTATTTTTCTTTCTACGTTTCTTTCTTCCCCCCTTTTTTTCTCCTTTCTTCGTTCTATGGTCTACCCTCTATGGAGAGTCTCTCCCCGAAATTCCTTTACTCATTGGCTATCAAAAACACCCTAAAACGAGGTGAGGGGTGAGGTAAGAGGGACGAGAGGGAGGAATGAAGTGAAAGGAGCGGGAGGAAGGTTTTGGAGTGTATGTGAGACGAAGGGAGAGTCTGAGAGACAGACAAAGAAATATCCATGATAGACCCACAGAAATTAATAATGAATCTTCACATCGTAACTGCCGACAGTTATGTGACTCGAAGAAAAAAGAGAGATCCTTCCAACTTTACATAAGACCCTCACTAAGGACATTGCAAAGAGAAACAATCTTTGAAGGCCTTACATACTAGCATTGGGTACCCCTTTTCTGAGTTCTAACTTTCCTTTACCTATCCCCTATCTTCTTACTTTAGTTAATATTAGTTTAAGTCTTATTTGTTATTAGTGTTTAAGATAATTTAGATTTTTGCGCGATGATTTTCAATAATGGTTCTTTATGTCGCGTACTATGATTTGTGATTTTGTTTGTGTAACCTTGTTCGCGATTCTGATTGTTTCTAACTGTCGGGACATAAAGTTAGCACTGGCATCCTAAAGAAGCCTGTAATTAAGCAAAAAGGACAACTTTAATTAAAGTTGTTCTTTGCTTCCACGTGTCTTCCTTAAAAATGAAAACTACATACTTTCACATATTTTACAATAGATATATCTTTGCCATAGATGGTATCTATTGTAAAATATTTGCATAAATATTGTAAGTTATTTACTTGTTTATATTTGTATTTAAAAATGTTTTAATTGTAAATTTACAAACAATTTTTATGCTCTGTAGACTGAGGAGGGATCGGCGAAAATGTTGGATCTGAAATGCATATAAATAAAACATCTGGAAATTAAAATTGCTTCTGAGTAATTCTTAAATTCCAGTAAACAGTTGGATTAGAAGGACATAATAATTTGTTTATTAGTCCAAAAAATCCCCTTTTAGGCAGTTAGATAAATAAATATTTATTTACAGATACTTTTAAATCAATGAATTTTGGAATATGAAATATTATAAAATTTCATATTAAATCTAATTTTAAGAGAAACAATTATTTTTAATTTAATTTTTAAAATTTCTGATTTTTATCCAAATTTTAAAATTTTAATTAAATTCAAAATACTTTAATTAAATTTATGACAATAGTTATTTTTAAGATATTTGAAGTACTGTATTTGAATACAGTTCTAAGTTTGGCATAATTCTTTGATTTATAACATTTTCATTCTGTGTTAAAGCATTTTCTACACAAATTTTTTAATATATTATACTTTACATGTAACACAGAGCCGGCCCTACCATAGGGCGAACAGAGCAGCCGCTCCAGGCGCTAAGTTTTAAATGGCGCCTCAGTGTTAAAGACAAGTAAAGGGTATAAATTAGGGACCACCAAGGGGGGCGCCATAATAGGATCTTGCTCCATCCTAAAACTTGCCTCGGGCCGGCACTGATGTAACAAATATATATTTGTATAATATACTGGTATTTTTAATATAATTTTGTTTTTTTAATAGATTATATCATGTATCTTCTAAACCCAGAATTCAACATCTTAGACACCAAGTTTTATCAAATAATTTTCAAAGAGATGCAGTTTCATCAACAACAAGAAATAATGGGAATTATGTATTTGAAAGAACTGTTCCTAGAATCACTCAGTCTGTAACAAGTCACCGAATTAGAAATAATGGAAGTATGTCAAATTCTTAAAATTTTAATAATAATTTATTTATTTAATAAATCTTTCTGTATATTGAAATAATGATTTTTACATTTAATGAAAAAAATAAAGTTCTAATTTTTGTACTTAGAAAAGCTTGGTATTCAATATGGGTAATATTGCAGTTTATTTAATTATATTTTATTTGTTATTAATAAGTGGTATTGAATTAAATCCTGAACCAGCTACTCATATTCCATCTTTCTCTCATGAAAAATCAGACTTCTCATGGACAGCAAAGGTTATCTTCTCCAAATGATCCTACTTCTGCAAAATCAGTGATAATAGAGGAGTATTTTACACAAGCAGGTACTGTACTGTACATTACATTTGTCTGATAATCATGAAATTAAAGATATCATTGAAAAAGCTTCAATAAAATTCTGGATGAGAAAATGGCATATATAACTGCAGTTAAATGTTATCTTGGTAGATGAATAGATAAGCTGGAGAAAGGTTTTGGCAATTTTGGTAAAGAATGATGTTCTGAAGAGTTTTAAAAAGTTATTTGAATTTTCAACTGGACAATATATGAAATGAAATTATCTATTGAGGAAAAGTATTCAGGAAAAGTACAAAACTCTTCCTCAAGAAAGTACTATTTCAGGAAAAAGTACAAAACTCTTCCTCAGAAGAGAACTCTTCTGAGGAAGAGTTTTGTACTTTTTCCTGAATATTGTCTCTGGAAGAGAGTAGCTTTTAAAAATTTGCTTGTTGTATGTCTTTCAGGAGGTATTATCTTGACAATAAGTTGTAATTTGGGATTGAATATAAACCAACCAAGAAATAACCAAAATAATTTTTGTACTTTTATTACCAGAAAATTATAATGTGAATTTTTATTTGAGAGATGTTGGAACTGAGTTGTTTTCTTAAATCTTTGTTAATTAATTTTAATTCATAGGATCTGGACAACTTAATTGTGTGAACTTAAAATAGGAACTTTATTTTAGGACAGATATTAATTTTTACAAATTCTAAAATATTAATTTATATATAATTTTCTAAGTTTCATTATTTTATTTTTTTCAGATTACAATGGAAATGGAAACCATTTATCTCCATCATACACAAGAAATGGCAACCATCATCTTATTACTATTCCAGTACCACCTAATTCTTTTACTAAAATAACTGTACCATTTAAAAATTTAAAGTTATCTGCAAATAGAAATCATATTTTATCATCAAGACCAGTTGTTTCACAAAGTGTTCATCCTTCATTTAGTCAAAATCATTTTCTTTCTTCAAATGGTTATTTTCATTCATATCCTAATCCATCTTCTAATGTGTATTCTCCAAATTATTTATATCATTCATCTATGATGAATCCTTCTCCACAACATCATCAAGTGATTGTTCATATTGGTACTAAAAGATATCCATCATTACCAGAAACTTATGTTTCTCCAAAAAATACTTATAACTTTTATCCTCAAAGTGATTCTTCCAAGAGTTCTTTTAATAATGGAGTTTATAATAATCAGTTTTCTAATAGAAATAATTTTTATATCCCAGATAAACCACCTTTACAGAACAGAATACAGAACCATCATTTATTGTCTCTTCATAATATTTCTCAAGTACCACCTCGTATTGTCATATCTTCTCCTACACACTATTTGCCCAAAAGTTATAATGATTGGAGATCATCCTTAGGCACTTCTGCCTTAGAAAAGAAACCAATTACACCACATACATTAAGAACTAATATTAAACTTTCAAAATCAAATTCTTCGTTAAACTCTAAGGATTTCATAGTTAAAAGTGATTCAGCAAATTTATTACCTATGCATGTCAGACCAACTGTAAATAAAGATATATTTGAAAAGAGAAGAAATACCTTAATTCATGTGAAAGTACGTCATCCACAGAGATATAATAGGAATTCATCAAGTTAGTTTAAACATAAATTTAAATATTTTAAAATCTTTGAATAATTTATTCTTATTTTAAAATTAATTTTAGAAGTAATTAGTAGTAATAATATAGAAAACAATTTTTAAAAATTACCATCAAATGACTTTTATTAATTATTACAGCTATTCCATTTTCATTAAAATTTCCATTATAATAATTTTGTTATTATTAAATGTTGAGACAATGGCTGATGTACAGTAGTATGCGAAAAGAAGTTATTACAATAAAATACACACATTATGGAATAAAAGTTAAAAAGAAAGGAGAGAAGAGTTTGTTAATTCAAAATGTTAAGAATTACATACATTTTATTGAGAAATAGATAAGTACATTTTCTAAATAAGATAAGTGCATTTTTCCAAGATACATATATTGATCAAATAAAGAAGGAAAACTTGGAGGTGACTGTGTGTGTCCTAGTTCTAAGTAGTGTTAGGTTACTATTGCATAAGAGTGTCAATACTTATTGATACTCTTATGCAAAACATCAATAGTATCAATACTGTTGGTTATCCAATTTACAATTGATTGCTAACCTATTAATGTAAAGTGGACATCAAATAAAGACAGATAGCAAACAGTCAGATTTATTTAATTAAAAAACAAACAATACTTCAATTAAAAAATTATTTTTTAAAGAAATATTAAATAATTTACATTTTTTAGCTTTAATTGGCTTCTTTTCTCAAAAATAATGTCTCAGGTTGTGGAGAAGGCTCTCTTGGAGCTGAAAGAGGAACCACAAATACAGCCATATTTGTGATAAATTGTTTTTTCAGATTATTGAAATAAGGATATCATCCATTATTGACCCAAAATTGAAGTGGGTTGGAATCTGGAGGCTTGATAGGTTATTCAGCATACTGCCGTAAAGCAATAATTGCATCCATTGTTGAATAATTTGCATTTGGAAAATGTCTAAAAAATTAAAGAGATCAGTGCATTATTTAGGCTTATTTCTTTATTTTCTTGTTCATTTTCAAGTCCAATTGGATTGAAGTTGAATTTATGGTATTTGCTAGTTCATTTGATATTGGTTTTGAAAAATTTATATAGTTCTTAAGTCAAAAAGCAGGGCTCTTGAATCTAGGATCTAAAATTGTTGAAATGCCACATACAGTTCATGTTTCATAACCATTTAATTTCTTGATTACTCCTTTTAATGGTTGCAATAACTTTGTACCACATTCTGTAGTAATAGAATTTTCTAGTGTCTTTAGCTTGACATGAAGTCTATGAATAATTGGGATGATTGAAGATATTGTAACAAAGTTGCTTGTTCAAAAGGTCCAAACAATTACAACATTCTTGTAAAAATACATTTTTATCAGCTGTCAATGGCAAGGGAGATTTTGATAATGAAATAAGGATGAGTCCTACATAATCTTTTAATTCTAATAATCTTATCATCATTAAATACGTTCCAACAAGTTACTGAGTTACTTTTTTAGGTGTTTTTTCTTGTTCAGTTTGGATATCTTAAACAGAGAATACATCCATATCTTAAAGTTTATCAAGAGCTTTGGTTGAGGTTTTAAAATGAGCTACAATTTCTTTACATTTTTTCTTTATTCTTATTAGTTATTCATCTCCTAGTAGAGCATTCTGAACAAGGTTTAAGTTGTGAATAAAACAAGGTAGATTCCTGATTTTTAATATGTTACAAGCACCTAACTTGCTAGTAGTTATATGATTTTATATACTAGAGACCATTTTAAAATGCTATTTTCAACATATTTGCTATATTCTTAGATGTATGAATTATGATGTAAGAATTACATATTCTTAGTAGACACTTAGTAGAAGTATCAGAATTTCAAGTACACATGATGTAAATGTATCATTAAAAATTAAATGGCATGCTACAGTTAAATATGACTGATTATCTATAGAAGTCCATATATTCATTGTTTTGGTCACATGTTTCACTTTTAATAAAAATTTTTTGAATTTTACAGGATATAAATGTTTTATATAATCTCTTAAATTTGATGATTTTTTTTTTATGTTTTGTACATCTTTTACATAAAATATATTTTGCAAGTAGTTTGCCTTACTCATCAATTTGGAAATACTCCCAAATATTAGATTTTTTTCTGATGGACATTCTACAATTAAAGATACTGTAACAGAAATATTGTTTTCCTTGACAGTATTGTATACTATGTGGCTAATGGTACTTTACTCAAAGCTAATAATAAAAATTTTTAAAACTAATTTTAAAATATGATGATAAAAAATAAATATTAGTTTTGTGTGAAAAGTACGAAAAAATTGGACTATTGATAGAGATGATATTTTTAAAACATTGATGGTATCTGAACACTAGTTCTAAGCTCATGCTGTAAGAGAACATGAATGCATGTGTACTATGTACTATGGACAGTGTTGAAAAAAAGCACATATAAAGAGAAGGGGGATTTCTTTTGTCTTTCGAGGACATGCTACTACTGTAGACTAGTGAATTTGCTCTGTGTCACCACCAGTCAACCAGATATTTGTGTCTAACAACAAATGAATATAATTTTTTTTAATATTATATATAAATCAATTAATTTTTAATTTTATAAATATAAAAAGACAAAATTTTTTTCCATTGGACTATATTGTTGCAATATATGTTATACAGTATGTTTTAGTTTTGTGTTGTTTCACATCCATCTTTACACAAAAACATGTCCTGCAGGAAATTATATTTTTTTACCTTTTAAATATATTTGCTATTTAATAATTTCATTCTTCTAGCATTGTTAAACAGCAGAAATATTAATACTTTGATTATTATCATAGGGATAACTTAATCCCAAAATCATAAATTTAACTTGTTTTAATTGTTACTCATTCTCCTAATTGTTACTGTTACTTACACACTAGTAATCGACAGTCAATTACTGGTATGTTCCCTGTATGATTAGTTCTCTTCAATAAAATTTATGCTTATTACTGAAGGATCATAAAATTAAGATATTTTTCTACTTTATATTTATGTTTTTGTAAAATATTTAAAATTTATTATTTTAGCTCATGAAATATGTACTTTATCATACTTTGGTTTTCATTTCAATTCTCCATAAACTTATATTAGGTTTTGCTTATTATAGCTATAAGTTCTCATATAACATACCTTATGTCTTATATCTTATGAAAAATTATAGTGCATTATAATGGAAACTCAAAATCTCCCAAACAGTATCTTAAAATGTAACTAAAACATGATAAAATGCATATATATAAATAATAAACTAACATATTAGAGTTCAAAATGATTAAGATGTCACTTTCTGACCATCAATTAATGATTATCAACAAATTATTTGCTTTTTATGCTGTAATATCTAGGGCTCTTTTTTAGTTGGAATGCACCACTGTACTGTATGCTGTACTGGCAGATAGCATGAAAAAGTATCAATAGCCAGTATGTAGTACTGACAGTTGTTCAGTAAAAACAGTTCTATATGTTCATTCATCATATATGTGTACCAGCAGTAATTTTTATAGAAAAGAGTGCTGGCCATACCATAAAAATTATGTTTATGATAAGCATGGCAAATAACAGACAAAAAAAATGTAGATATTATAAAAAAACAGATAAAAATTTACAAGCAATTTCCTTTAATGAACTGTTAGTCTATACTAAGTGAAGTGGAAACTTTAAGCTTGAGAAAGTTTTTTACTCTTTGTGTGGGCACTAAGAGGGCCTTTTCTCCACACCCATTGTTGGTTCAGCCATCTGGATTTGATCCTGGGTTCTTCAGAGGTATAGGCTGAAGGCTTAATTGCCTTAGCCGATAGCAAACTTGAAGAAAGTTGAGGAAGTTTGCATTTAAAATTTCAGTTGAGACTTTTCCTGCCAATTGTTTAGTTAAAAATATTGTGTGAATTTTTGGAATATAAACTATAAAATTTTGCTATATGAACATCAGCCAAAAACATTATGATGAGATATGCATATCATATGAAATTTGAGTATTAAGACCAAGAGATGTTCTACCAGGAAAATTTTAACTAGGATGGCATTCTGTAGGATATTCCTATATATTTTTTAAAACCAATGTTTAAGGAAAACAAATGATTGTTGATTACATTGGGCTATATTAATGGTACTAATTACCTATTAAATGTCAAGTAGTTTGGTTTAGAGGTAAGCATTAAGCTACATCTCTTAAAAAATTTAATAATTATATGTAATCCAGCAATTATTTGGCTTTAATGTAATAATTGGGTTTATAGATGTTTATATTTACCATCAGAATAATTTTGAAATGGATATCATGCACAGTTCATAGTATTTGTTGAAAATTATTTTTAAAAATTGTTTAAAATTGTATATTAATATCTCAATATGTTCAGTTTATTTTAAAATTATTTAGAAACTCATTTATTACTATTATTTTAAATAGGACCAGTCAATCCTACTCACCCACCTGTCATTGTTCGATCATCTGGTAATATATAATTTAATTTATTATTTAACATGAATAAATTTTATTCTCTTAAATTTAGGAAATAAATAAATGGCTAATTTATTAATAAATAAAAATTCTAAATTTTATATGTGTAAATCACATTACTGAATGAATGAAACAAAGAAAAGAAGTTTGTTTCAAGTATGAATCTGCATTGCTTCAATTCATAGATTAATACTTGAGATATGGAGAATTATGCAATGAAGTTTATATTTAAATATGTTATTAAGTTCATTATGATCTAAGAACAAGTACAATGGTGAAGCCATTCTTGGAATGAGACTATGTCTCAGAGAGTGCAAGCAACACATGTGCAAATCTCTGAGACATAGTGTTGGAGATTTGTTCATGCGCCTGTTTGTAGAAACAGTCTCAGCATTTTGTATTTTATTTTGACTTGGTTCTTGGTTCCCTGACTACCTACAAGTCTGGTTTACTTTTTGCATGCATGATTTGGGCATCAAATACTCTGTACCAAATTGCAACTCCTGACCCTGACATGTACTCCTTCATACCTCTAACATGTGCAGCCATTGACAGCAGTGTGATTTTAGAGATGAGACATAGTCTCATCAAAAATAATTAAAACTAGAAGAAAAGTATATATATATATACTTCTAGTTTTAACTATTTTGTATATATATAATTATTTAAGAGCCATAACTTTTAACCATAGTTGAAATTCCTGGTACCTAGAATTCTTAAGATGCAGATAACGTTTACATATGAATAGAAATAAACTTTAAAAAAACGATTATAATAAATTCTGAAAAAAATCAGCATAACACTTTTTCTGTTATGTTAATTTAAAAAACTACCAGGGCTGTGCAGTTGCGTAAAAACTTTTCCTTACCTTACCAACTTAACTTTTCCAACTTTTCCTTACGACTCCGACTCTGACTCCTACCAGGGGCGGACTTGTTGCCGAAAAAGACCCGGAAATTCTGATGTCATCACGTGACTTCAGAATAAAAAATTCAATAAATAGAGTTCTAATAAAGATAGAACGTAGAAACTTTTCATTCCAAAGTTAAAAGACTCCTCTAAGTAATATATAAATATGTATTTGATAATTTTTACTTTTCCGGCTGTTATATATAACAGAGGGAAAGTATAGCGCTGGGTCAAAAAATGACCCTCCCAAATATTTTTGGACGCAGGATACCTTGAAATTTCGAGATATGCAAAAGATTCGAGGCTTTTCTATATGTGTGGATGTTAGACTGTGTGGGGGGGCATGATTTTGTTCACCCTGTTTGAAGCCTAATAATTTTTGTGGTCAGAGTGGTCAGAATCGGAGTCATATGGTTTAACACAGAAGTTAGTTATTAAGCATCAAAATGGTTGAACTAAATCGTGTCCCCATATACATTCTAATATCTTAGGCAAGAACATATTAACAGGTTTTACTGTACTATTATAAAATGGGAAAAAAGCTTACTTTGAGGGTAGAGACGAGTTTTATTTTATTTTAAATTTTGAATGCTAATAATAAGTAAAATATTCATTAAGAGATATGACACATGACCCTTTTATATCTTCACCCTGTCGACCTTTAATTAAGGACCAAAATTTAATAGTATTAATGCCCCTTTATACGTAAGCTACAGTGCCACATTTCGTTTCTTAAACTTTACCCATTCAGAGACATTGTTTAATATCTCAGAACAGAAAATAAAGAAATTAAACAAATTAGACGTTAACACACACGTGCGTGCGAATTTTTTCCCTTTTATTGACTTTTTTGAGGGGTTTGGCTAGATTTGCAAAAAAAAACTGGAGGGTCAAATTTGACATGATTCCAATACTTTTCCGTTTTATATACATAACAAGTTGGTAAGTAAAAAGGAGTCAGAGTTGGTGGACTTTTTGACGACTCCGACTCCACAGCCCTGAAAACTACATAAGAGTTTTATAATTCATAGTCCCAAATGTAAATCTCAAATTGTTTCCAAGATTTAGTTTATCTGAAATAATGAATTTATTTGATGAAGCAAAAGTTTTTCTAATAAAGAATATCTTATAATATAAAAAAGACTTTTTACATACAGGCAGTTCCTGACTTATAACTTCAGTTTATAATAGCTGAAAATTGTTTGATGTAGTCAAAGACATTACATATGGTTAACAGAGTTTGAGAAAGGAGACATCATTGAGCTGAGGAAAGCAAGATGGCATTTTGCTGAATTGCTTGCTATCTGATCTATCCTGACCTGATGTGAGGAGGTGTTTGAAGCACTGGATATTGAGTCACACATATGTAGAAAACAGACCACTAGGAGAGATGATTGTCTGACAAGATTTAGAGGAACTTAAAAATATGATGATACAGGTAATCCCCGTATAACACGGCACTTCTATAGCAGAGATTCACTCTAACATGATTCGAGAATTGGGACCATCCCCGTATAACATGGTACTGTTATAGCACGGATTCACTCTGACACGGTTCGAGAATTGGGTAAAACCCTCATACAACATGAAATGTAATAAATTTTTACATACTTAAATACTAATAGTTCACAAAAATTATTATTTTCATGAACTTTTAGTACATAAGTATGTAAATTTTCTTTTCTCGCCTTCTGTCGATACACATTGTCCTTCTTGAAACTTGTTTCAATGTTGCCAGATCTCGACGCTTCTGCTTCTGATGTTGCCAGATGTTTTTTCCTTATTTCATACTTGATTTATTCTTCATAAGTGCTTAGCACCATATAAGGAAATTTATAAAGATGTTTTAACTAGAAGTAAGCAATCTAAAATTACATACTTTTTGCCAAAGGTAGGGCATGGATCTGAAGATAATGCAGAGAAATGCTCAGAGGATAAGGATAACTTGCCAAAAAGAATAGTGCTTTTAGTGATGAAGAAGAAAACATTGTTTAATTTATATTAATATGTATCACTTAAGAAAATTTTAATAAAGATATTTATCTTAATTATGAAAATATAATAGCATATTTTTTAATTTTTGGAACCTAACCCTCATTTTTGTACTAGTTCTTTGTTTGGTATAACACGGCTTCGCATAACATGGCAATTTTTTGGAAAGTAACTCCCGTGTTATACGGGGGTTACCTATATTTTAAACATCTTTCAAGAGACTGGAAAACTGTTTTTGTAAAAACATCAATGGGTAACATTCTGATAATCCTACATTGCTATAGAGAAAGTTACCTTGAAAATCGTTGTATTTGGAATAAAGTTTAAAAGCAATATTAAATTAAATATCTTGTTTTATTCTTAATTTCATAAATAGGTAGTAATTTTCATTGCTTTGTATCATTTGTATATTTAAATTTCCTTAATCTATAAAAATTGATTTTATGTTATTTCAAGATTGATTTAAAATAATTATACTAATTAATTAATGTAAATTTTATAGCAGTGCCAAGATTTTTTCCAAACTCTCCAAAGATAGAGTACCCACCTAATTGTATTAGATGTCCAAGTGATCAAATACTAATAATTGAGAAAGGAAAAAGTTGTGCTACTGTAACTGTACCTCCAGTTAAGGCATGTTCTCGGTAAATGGTGATTATTATTTTTATTTATTTTAAATATTTACTGTATTTATTTTGAATATATTTTCTTTAATAAAATATTTATAAAATATTTTGTACAGCCATGATTTAAGCAAATCTATACTTGACATGAAAATGCTTTTTAGTTTATTATGTTTTTCTCATAATAAAATAACTAAAACCTAACAAAAACTTTAATAAAATTTCTACATTCCAGCTAAATATGGAATACAGTACTGTAAAATGCTAGTGTATTGTAGTAATATTACAATTTAATGTAAATTTTCTGACTACTTTATCTCCAAATGTTTATTCTCATGGAACAAATATTTTAAATTGGGATTTCTTGAAAGTAGATGGAAAAAGTCATATGATTTAAATAAAAGATTATTGAACAATTAAATTAGATATAATGAAGAATAATAATCTTATAATCTACTAAGCTTGGTTAGTTCCAATATTATCAAATAAAATTTTAACAATCACCTCTTAAGGGAAGCAATTCTTCAATTCATAGAAAAAGTTTTTGGCTCTTTTCAAGCCATTTTCAACTTCAATAACTGATAATAAGCAAACTTCTCTGAGTTTGTTAACAAATATAGTGGTACCTCAGGATATGAATGCCCCAGCATACAAAATTTTCAGGATACAACATGAAATTCGAACATATTTTTGCTCCACAATACGAACAAAAACTCACCACACCACGTTACATTAGTTCACAGCGCCATTTTTTATTCACTTCTGTTCACTGGTCTCAGTCTGTGTGTTTGCTTCGTCTTGGAAGAATCTTGCTTGATAAAGGAAATCTTGAGGTATTATGAGAAAGTGACTGATTTTATTGAAAAGAAACATCCCGACAAGGTTCACACTGGCCGTATTGCTGCTAGGAGTAATGACATTTGCCTAAGTCATTTTAGAAACATTTTAAAAAGTAGGCAAAGCCAAACCTCTTTGGATAGATATTTTACCAAGCGACCTCTATCCAGTGAAAGTGCTGGTGAAAGTGAAGGAAAGAAAGCAAAAAGCAGTGAATAAAAATTTAAAAAATATATATATAAAACAACACTAAATTTTTTATCTTTTCTAAGTTATTTTTAAGTTATTGTTACATTATGTTATGTAAGTTAAGTTTTAGTATCATTTCCCTTCTCCCTCACTTCCGCCACCAGTTTACACCTCCACCGTCGTCTATCCTCAAAGGTAAAGTGCAAATAAAACTACATTTTTTTTAATCAATTATTATTCTATTATGGTTATTTATACATTTACAACTACAAAATGCATTTTTCAGTGTTTTCCTTACTATAGTTATTTTTTTTAATGTACTACTTAGCTTTAATTTGAGTGTGTTTTTTGTGTTGGAACTAATTATTTGGTTTTACATGTAATCGTATGGGGAAAAATGATTCACCTTATGACATTTTCATGATACGATCTCAGTTTCGGAATGGATTAATTTCATATCCTGAGGTACCACTGTAATAGAAAAAACTTTTGGATTCTTTGTAGAATTTTTAATGATTTTGTTATAGAATAATTAAATTACTTTTAAGATTTTCTTCAATTTTAATAATATAAAAATTACCAACCAGCAAATTTTATAAATTGAGCTAAAACTTAAATTAATTAGGCTGCAATTTGAAAACTTTGCAGACCTATAAATTTCCTCTATTGTGTGTCTGTTTGTCTGCCCTTCCTTAATTTCAAAAACAGTGTTAGATAGATGAATGTCGAGACCAGATATGGAAAGCTTATGGCCAGGAGGCTCCAATTAATTATATATGAACTTCTGCTTTGGGCAGGAAGTCATGTTATTTTGATTAAAAGATTTTCTCCTGAATGGAGTTAGATACGTGACTGGCATGACTTCATTGTTAACAGGAAAAGTATGATGTACAGAGGCAAGATATTACTAAACTTAAATGCATTGTGATGAAAAATTGCAGCCTGGCATTATGATGATGTCACAATAAATAATTACTCCTATTTAATAGAACTTCAATTTTCCAAAAAATATATACTTACTTTTATATTTAAAAACTATTAATCTTAATTATTCATAATTTTATTGCTGGAAGACTGTTTTATTTAAGTTGTTAGGTCTACCTGAATAATGTATAATGCATTCACAAAAAAGTAATGGTAAATATTTTGAAAGTTATCATCAGTTCAATGTAAATTTACTTCACTTTTTGAAGAATATTACATCCCTGAAGATGATTTGGAACTTAAAGGCACTTTGGAAGCCATATATTTAATTCTGATATTCCAGTAAAGCTGTATTTTTATAATATTTTATAATAATAGATTTAATATGTAAAATATTTTTCTGGACAAGATACAAACTGAAAGCAGATGATTTTAAGATGCAAAGTAAGTCTGATATCGTACTTTTAGATTTTTTATTTTTGTTTTTAGGAAAATACATAAAAGATTCTTGCATCTTTTATAGGAACAGGATTGAGACATCAACCAGTAACAGAAAATGATTCAATAGCTCACAGTTAAGGGATAAAATATATTGATCAATATTAAGGTGACCAACTATTTTACAATGAAAAGGAGGACACAAATAAATTGAAGGAAAAAATATTGTAATAAAAGAAACATTTTATTCATTGCAACAATAATACACTATAATAATATCTACTGCATTTATATGTGCCATGTAATATTTCAGTAAGAAGTAAACAAAGCTACTTCCACGCAGCATGCTTTCTCAAAATCTTTTGTGTGGAGTGCATGCGTCTTATAATCACATCTTGCCACACTGTACCAATACTTGATGAATCATCACGTTAAATAAAACACGTCACATACAACGGATCGGCTTGGCATCGATCGAATATGGAGATTTGCAGATTAGTCTTCAAATATTGAAAAGGAGGACATGTAGAGGACACTTTTCGAGGGAGGACAGAACTTAAAAACGAAGGACTGTTCTCCCTAAAGGAGGACTATTGGTCACCTTATCAATATATAAATATAATCTAAAAAGATATGAACTCTTAATAATAATAATAACACAATTGTTCAGAATATGGCTTAATAAGAAATTATTTTTTTTTTTTAGAAATATTTTGAAATTTTATTAAGTAATAAGTAAAAATTTCTTATTCAATTTAGTGTCTTATTTTTTTATTGTTAATTTTTTATAGTACTTCTGAAGATAGATAGACTAAATTAATTAAGTTTACAGTGTAAAAGAACATGAAAATTTTAATTTACTAAGACATTTTACTTTATAAAAAATATATTATACATATTAAAGAATTAAATTAATTACACAGTTGAATATTTTTAAATTTAAATTTTAGTTACTGTTGTTATTATGCTGGTATTATTTATCATTGATATATGTATATATAAATTCTTTAGAATTACAAAAACACCTGGTAAAATGGATGTGTTACTGGGCATAGGTCCTAAACCCGGAAGTTCAGTTAAAGAAGGTGCTTATATGATGCAGTTTCATATTCTTAAAGCTGGATCCAAAGTAAAAACATGCCAATTTAGGTTAAACGTTAAAGGTAATTTCTTTTATTCTTTTTCTTATTTTTTATTAAATTTGTGAAAAAGATATACATATTAAATACATAATGAAACATAGGAAAACAGTATAGCATTACATTATTATACATTCTTGCGTTGAAATCTACCCATACATATATATATCACTAACTGACATGAAATGTTTGAGGGAAAGAAAAAAAAAAATGAAATTGTGCAGTAGACAAAAGACATTGAATATGTTTTTAGAAAAATTCAGTTTAAAAAAAATAAATGTTTAATAAGGCATTAAAATGTAATCCGTGATGCTTTGTAGAACGTTGTCAGATCTGATCAGCTGATTTTAAGAACCATCTTTGTTAATTAATCTGCATCAATGTCCTAATTTAATCAAATTGTTCTTTCAAACACCATAACCGTGTATTTCTATTAATAGGACTTATTATACTGGTGTATAGAATTATAGCAACACAGTCACACAGATTAAAATTGGTTTATTTATGATTACCTGCTAATCATAAATAAACCAATTTTAATCTGTGTGACTGTGTTGCTATAATTCTATACACCAGTATAATAAGTCCTATTAATAGAAATACACGGTTATGGTGTTTGAAAGAACAATTTGATTAAATTAGGACATTGATGCAGATTAATTAACAAAGATGGTTCTTAAAATCAGCTGATCAGATCTGACAACGTTCTACAAAGCATCACGGATTACATTTTAATGCCTTATTAAACATTTATTTTTTTTAAACTGAATTTTTCTAAAAACATATTCAATGTCTTTTGTCTACTGCACAATTTCATTTTTTTTTTCTTTCCCTCAAACATTTCATGTCAGTTAGTGATATATATATGTATGGGTAGATTTCAACGCAAGAATGTATAATAATGTAATGCTATACTGTTTTCCTATGTTTCATTATGTATTTAATATGTATATCTTTTTCACAAATTTAATAAAAAATAAGAAAAAGAATAAAAGAAATTACCTTTAACGTTTAACCTAAATTGGCGTGTTTTTACTTTGGATCCAGCTTTNTATAATTTAAAAATATATATATTATATTCACCGAATTACTGCAACAATGAAATAGCACATAGATGTGCCATTACGTCATTACTGCGACAGATAGCACATAGCATTTGCCTGCATGGAGTGTAGTAGTGTTTTGCCCCTTTACATCATACTTTTTTCATTAGCAATAGAGTTGTGCCAGTTATGTATCTAACTCCGTTCTGGGGAAAATTTTTGAATTGAAGTAACATGATTTGCAGTACAAATCAGAAGTTCATATATAGTTAATCTAGTTCTCTTTCTCTTATGATTTCCGTTTTGGTTTCAACTTTCATCTATCTAACTCTGTTCTCAAGATTAAGGAAGGACAGAGATGGATGGATGACAGTGGGAATTTATAGGTCTACAATTTTTACCTTCCAGTAACTGAGTGGATAAAACCACTGAACACCGGTAATCAATAGTGGATTCCCAAATGGTCAACAGATTGGCCACGTGGTGCTTTCTGGGTTTTCTTTGTATTAGTAACACTTAAATTGGGGCCAACTTTACTTAAAGTCTTTCTATATGCATCCTTTTGGCAGATAGCTCATGTGATGCATTGCTGTAACCAAATAAACCAAACCAATTCTAATAATTTTTCTATAAATGCAATATTTATGAGGACATATTTAACTACCAGGAAATTGGGAAATTGGTATTCAGTGTTGTATGTATTGTACATTAACTGTACTGTACATTAACATTCATTAACATTAACATACATGCAACAATTTTAAGGCACAAAGCAGAGCTCAGTCTTTTTCTGTGCTGATGTTTATTTTTCCTATTTATTATCATGGCAACATTGCTTTATTCAAAATTTTTTGTAGTTGTAGTCTGTGAAATGTGCACTTTACACACACAATAAGACTCAACATGTGAATAATATGTTGAGTCTTACTGTCAAATCTGCTTTCAGTATGCTTATGCTAAGTGTGCTAAATAAAGGAAACTTAAACATACTGGAGATAAGCAGTATAAGCATACTTAGAATAAGCATACTAAAGCCCAGCAAAAATATCTACATAAAGGAAACTTTTGAAAAGTTTCTTTTATGTAGAGGTTTTTGCTAGGCTTTACTTTTTCAACTTTGTTTCACCAGTTTTTTTATGGGATCACACAAAAGCAATTATTCTCACATTTTTACAAGATTTTTTTATTTAAACAAGCCTTATATCATGTGATCAAAGTTGCTAAGCTTAATGTCTTTCGGCATTAAGCTTAGCAACTTTGATCACATGCAGGGCCATTACAACCTATTCAACACAGATCACATTTCAAATATTAATAGTAGACCCATATTAATTAGTAGTCGTTGACCATCCTCTTTCTTAGGAGGAGAATAAATACTGCTTTTGGTCAAATTAACTTCAACCTCCGTCTGCACCAATCCCTTCTTCCTATTGGACCCACCAGTATGGTGGCATCTGAATAGAAAATTAGAAAAGAATACTAGAAAATTAGAAAAGAATACAATATCTTAAATTTTTGAAGTTGTTATATTTTCAATTGGTGTCTACTTGACCAATGAAATTGTGCCATTTTGTACCATCCAAGTATCATGATAAACATTACAATGGTAGGCTAAAATAATCAAACTCTTTATATGGTTTTCATTATATTTGTTATATCGTAGTATTTGATTTATATAACTACAAAGGTTAACTTACATAAGGGTTTATCACACCAAGAGACCAATCTAACACATTTTTAAAGTTCTTTATTCCTCTACTGTACACAATTTAGATTGGTCACTTGGTGTGAGCAAAACCGTTATGTAAGTAACGTTTGTAGTTATATAAATCAAATATTATAATACAGTAGAAGGGTTAGAAGTACGAAATAATCTAATAATCTATAAGTATATTAAACGACCCAATGGGCATTGGGTCGTTTATATATATAGCCAAATGATCACCTTAAATACTTGGACTATAAATCTGCTATTTTTAATAATTAATTCTAAGTAATTTGCTATTAGAGATATTATTATTTCTAAATTATTTAATAAATTGTTTAAATTATAATTAATTCTTTGAAAATGTTAGTCTGTTTTCTACAAAAAGGACTTATTGGAGTTAAACAAGGGTTCTAAAATACAGACAGGTGTGTTATGTAAAGGAACTCTAATCTATAAAGAGTTTGTGATATTCTAATTATATGGTAGTTTTAATATAATATTTTCATATTTTTAAGCATACACGTATACTATTGTAAATTTGAAATAAAAATATTTAATTTTAGCATTGAAATGTCCCAAAATACAGAATCCAAAGAATGGAATGATTCATTGCACAAATAAAGGATATTGGGGAAGCATCTGTAATTTTGTTTGTGAAGATGGATATGCATTGGTAGGAGAACCAGCAGTATCATGTGATGGAAACAAAAAACTTGTTTATTGGAATTCATCTATTCCAAACTGTGAAAGTAAATATTTTAAATGATTGTAAATAATTTAAATAATTATTGTAAATATTTTGAATAATTGAAAAAATAATTGTATTTTGAATAAGAATTCATACACAAGCTATTCAAATATAATTTGTTCATTATTGAATTTACTCATTTTAATGATTCAGCAGAATAAATTATTATAATGTTAACAAAATTATTAATTTTTTAAAAAGGCATTTTAGAGGAAGTTTTTGGAAATAATTTTTAGTGATTTTATTATACTTGTGAAAAATTCAGTAGTTTGATAAGTTCAGTAGACTTATCAAAAATGTTAATTTTTGATTAATATGAAAGATTAATCACTGTATGATTAATCTTTCATATTAATGGATTTGAATGGATTGAATGGTTAAAAATTGAAAATCAAGTGTACAATTTGTGCCCTTGATTTTCAATTATTTGAAGATAGAGCAGTTTTCCTTGGAACAGTAGAATTTTGTAATATATTTCATTATGTAATTCTTTTATTCTAATTATTCACTCTTAGATATCTCAACATTTATGAGACTGAATAATACTTTTTGCTACCTCACTAGTTTGTTTTGCTTTGCTTTATCTTCTTGTTAATACTCTATATAGTTTCTGTAATTTGTCTGTTTCTTTTCGGGCTTAACTTTTCTTTAGCAATATCTTCCATTTATATGAAGTTATATTGATTAAAAAAAATCATTCAAAGAAAACTATTGATGAAAAGCTCTTCTATGTAATATGAATTTGTGGCTTTGTATTTTACCAGAAATAAATACATGATTTCTTTTTCATTTGATCTTCAAGCTGTTTTGAAAAATTTCAAACTTAATGAAACCAGATTCTTCAGGATGAATTGAAGAATATGATAAACCCACCTTTTTTAAACTAAGTATTTTTGAGTAACATAAAGTTCCTGAAAAATATTTTCTTTACTATGTTATGAATACTTAGTCATATGCTTCATAGAATTGCATCAATACATGCTTATTTATGATTAAATTTTTATATTAGTAATTTGATTTTCTATATAATATAAATTTTTATTGCATTACTTGACAGTTTAGTTAAATAAAGTACCTTTTTTTGATTTGTAATGGTAATTTTTTTAATTATAAATTCAAAAATTACTATATAAAATTAATTAATATTTAGCTCAGGACACTTTGTGAATTGTGAGTCAGATGCCTCGAACAGTATGTCTTGCCTGAATTAATATTTAGCGTTTATTAATTTATTTATTTTCAATAACTTAAATTGTTTTAAAAACAGTTTAATATTTAACAGTTGATTAAAATATCCATAAATGCTTTATTCAAAGAGATTGATTAATTTCTAAACAGCATTTATAAAAAAAAAATCTATTTCAATAGTTTTGGATTTTATCCATTTGTTTTGTTAAATTCAGATTTTTTTATATTTTTACATTTTACAAACTACTGAAATTTGATTTTATGTCAAATAATTTTATATTAATAGAATGAAAAATTGATACAGTTCATCTTTTTTTCTAAACCTATAAAAAATAGTGATTAGTCTAGTTATTGAATTTTTAATTGTATAATATCAATAAATAACAAAATTCAGTTATAAATATGATTGTAAATAGGCAAATATTCAATTTTTTATTGGTTTAGAAAAAAGAATTACTGCCACTTTTTGACTCTATTAATATAAAATTATTTGACACAAATCAAATTTCAATACTTTATAAAATTTACAGCTTACAAAATTGAATTCTAATCTTTAATATCTTCAACTAAAGATATGAATGCTCATTTTTATATTATGATAAATTATATGTTTGATGTAAACAAAGTTGGAACCTGCACATTGTGATGAACATGAACTAACCAAAGGTGACAGCAACATTAAGCAAATTTTATTTCTTCTTGAGAGAAATACAAACAAATATATTTCTTAAGAATACTTTTGCCCAATGCAAGTGGTTTTCTTCAGTACAACTTCAAACAACAAGAACAGAAATGCTTAGAGAATATATGTTTGAGCTTTAATTTTTGAAACATTCTATTTGTGCAATATCCTTATACCAACAAAAACTTGAAGGGAAATGGCATGAACGAGGATCAATGTATAAATATTTGAATAGTAGAGTGTATATTGTGGTGGTATACCAATGTATTTTGTTATATTTTTATATGTATATATGTTTTTCTATTTTTCCTTCTTTCTTTGTTCTGTGTTCCTTTGTCTATACTTCATGGAACTTTCTTCCAAGTGTGGGTGGTGGGTGACCTAGTTAGGGGACAAGGAAAAGAAATAGCCCAGAGGGCAAGTGAGAGACTAGAGGATCACTTTTTTCTTTGGACCTAGAAGAGGGAAGACACGTCTGAGAGAGGTCTCCAGGTTGTTGTTGTTGCTTCGACTGAAAAAAAAAAAAAAAGGTCACAAAAGGTTCAGAAGAAAGAAGTATCATTATTAAGGACATTGGTAGGCTAAAGATCAAAGACATTTATTCATCGATTCTCACATACAATTCGTCCCCAAAGGAAATTCCAAGACGACGTCATCCAACCACCGCCACCTCGATCAACAACTCTGGTACTCGTTCCTTCTTGAAAATATATTTCTGTCTCTCTCATAATCTATCCTTTTTTTTCTTCTTATTAGAATAAGTAAGTTTAAGTTAGAACATAAGTACCTCTTTGTATCGCGAAACTTCTTGTTCGACTGTGGATTGGAACAGGTGTTGTTTTTTTCCCTTTTTGGAAATAAGGAATCAGGAGGTCAGAATCCACAAGAACCTTTCTTGTAGAAGTTTACACAAGAAAAATAAAAGCACATTTTATTTGTTTTACTACCTGTCTCTTTGTGAAAATCAACACTCACCACGTGCTTACGACTACAATATAACATTATAAGGCTTGAAGGCACTCTGTTAACATATGATGGAGATTAAACATGGGTTGATTGATGGAATTGGATATTTGTATATTTATGGTTTTGAGTTGGAAGAGTTTTACTGGACTACTCAGTCTTGGTATTTTTACATTGTCTTATAGGATTTTGCAGTTGCAGCTTTGTTGTGAATCTTCCTCTTCCATGTTCTTTTTATGTTTGGAGAGTTTCCACTTTAGAATATGGACTATGGCACAATATAATGGAAAACTACTTTCATTTATTATAAAAAATCTTGTTTATCTCCTCTAGCACTAGTTTGTTCCATGGATCCCCATCTGTGCTCAAGATTCTTTTTTAGCAATGGCAGATTAGTTATCACCAGACAAATAGTGAGTTATCTTGTCAGGCAGAGTAGAGAATATATTGTAGAATTAATTTTACAATTATCTTTAAAATCTCTTAATTTTACATTAATATCTTGAAACCTCTTGAAAATCTTATGTTGATTTCATTCTAGGAAAGGATGTTAATGGTATTATAAATTAGCTGGATCTTTGCATAACAAGGAAACCACCAGGATTCATATTTAATGTTTACCACAAACTGACATTACCTCTTATGTTATCACCAGTAGCATTTTTTCCATATAAACCCTATCTGTTGGTGGCCATACAACCCTCATAAAAGCTTTTCTTTTCTCTTTCAATGACCAACTTTTGCAACAAGAATTAGAAAGCATTAAACTCTCTGATAACCACTAGGTATAAAAACAGAGTATTGAACAAAGTGTACAGTCTAGTACAATGCACATTCTTTCCTTTTCACACACCATCTGATCAAGAGGTCTCAAATTCTCAAGGTCACTTTCCAGTACCTAGGGGCTACAACATATTCTCTGTTCTGCCAGACAAGATACCTCACAATTTGTCTGGTGATAACTAATTTGCCATCTATAAAAATAATCTTGAGCACAGACTCATGGAACAAACTAGAACTATCAGAGGTATATAAGATTTTTATAATAAATGACAGCAAAGTTTTCCAGTAATTTGTGCCACAGCCCAAATTTTGAAGTGGAAACTCTTCAAACATAAAAAAAAAAACATGGAAAGAGGAAGATTCACAACAAAGCTGGCCTCTCAAAGCTGCCTGGGTAACAACTGTAAAATCCTATGGGACAGTGTAAAAATCCCAAGACTGATTAGTCCAGCAAACCTTTCAACTCAAAACCATGTTATTGAATTTTTAATTGTATAATATCAATAAATAACAAAATTCAGTTATAAATATGATTGTAAATAGGCAAATATTCAATTTTTTATTGGTTTAGAAAAAAGAATTACNAAAAACATGGAAAGAGGAAGATTCACAACAAAGCTGGCCTCTCAAAGCTGCCTGGGTAACAACTCTAAAATCCTATGGGACAGTGTAAAAATCCCAAGACTGATTAGTCCAGCAAACCTTTCAACTCAAAACCATAAATATGAAAAACAAATCATATCAATAACATCGTGTTTAATCTCCATCATGTGTTAACAGAGTGCCTTCAAGCCTTAAAATAATGTGCACATTTTACACTCATTTTTTATATATTGCTTCTTCATTTTAAAGTATTCTTTGCCTACTTGGGTCTTTTTTTAATCCTGACTTATTACAATTATAGTAGGGAAGGAAGACAAAACTTTTAGGTTGTTTTTTCTTTTTATTACTCCCAAATGTATTTCAAACATTTTTCATTCCTTTTAAGTGGGTACAAAGGTAAATTTTTTTGGCATAATATATAAAAGCTAAAATATATAAAACAACTTTTATAACATGAAAAATACAATATTTAAATAACAATAATCATAAAAACTTTTTAACATATATTATACAAACATACTAGCCATATCCCGTAATACTAACAGAATGGTTTTCCATGGTATTATTGTTAAAGCTAAATTAATATGTAAATTTAACTTATTTACAAATAATTATAATCAATTTTCATATTTGATCTTATAGAAAATTTTCTTACATTTTACTGTTTTTTATCACAATATTCTTATATTGTGATAAAAAACAAAACAGTAAAATGTAAAATGTTTAACCATCAAGTTAAACAAATTTCTCCAAGGCATGGAATTAATTTTTTTTTATTCTTCAAAGGATTAAAAAAAACCTAATAAAGGTTAAGAAATATACTAACTTAAAAGTTTAAAATAATTTAAAGATTTTAATCATGAACCTACCACTCTTTAAAAGGTTTTTGTGAAAAATGTACCACTATTATCAGTACAATTTTTACAAAATTTTTCAATTGAGATTGAATGACAAATTCCACCTTCTGTTACACAAAACTTTTCAATGATTCATATATAATTTTTCCTTGATTATTGTTTATAATATTATTAAGATTACTTACTATTTTAATGTATTCCAATAACTGATGTTTAAATAAATTATATTCTTTCTTAAGAATTTTAACTGTATTCAATTTAATTTCAAGTAATGTCTTGCTACTACTAAGTGCACATAATTTGTTTGGATAGATTTAATATATTCACTGATTATGGCTTTTAATTTTCTTTTAGTTTAATTAATTAAAGTAAAAGTAAATTAATTAAGCATAAGAAGCTAACTTTACAAACATTGCTCCTTGTTTGTGTCACTTTTTTCCTATTATTAATTAACGTAACGATATTACACAAATAGAATGTTTTGAAGATTAAATTTTAAAGATATATTCTCTGAATGTATCTGTTCTTGTTATTTGAAGTTATAACTGAAGAAGCCCACTTTTATTGGGCAAAAGTATTCATAAGAAGTATATTTGTTTGTATTTTTCTGAACAAAAAGAAATAAAATTTGTTTAATATTTCACAACTTTTGATTAGTTTATATATGTTTGATTTCTACAGCAAATAGTAATCTCCAAGTTTTATTAAACAGCAACAACACCAATTCCTGCTTTGTTGAAACAAAAAAAAAAAAAAAAAAAAAGTTTTAAATAGTCCCAAGCACTTTCAAGATTCCTCAATGCATCTTTGGGAGTTCTTACAAATATCAATTGCTATGTATCATTTGACTGCACTTCCTGCCAATTTATTGCATGTCATCATAAAGTTTTTAAACATTAGCATTATTCATTTAACTTTCATTCCTCCTTCTTTAATAACTTTCTTTAATAACTTCTTTAATAACTTTTCAACTCTCAAACTTTTTTAAAATTTCTTCTCTTTTACTAGCTACTAACATATAACCTCCAAATTGTTTGCATTCTTATCATTAGTTATTTTTTCTTTTGTGTTTTTTCAAAATACATTTCTTTTCTGTGGATGTTACTCCTCACCTCTTACTTTAATGTTTTGACTTCCAGACAACCCATATGTCTTTCCTCAGAGAAGAGACTGAGGTAAATAACAAGAAGAAAATAATAATTATGTATTATGTAGAGGATTAGGATGAAACTTTTACCTTTGAAATTTTACTTTACCAACCTTTGAAAAAAAATGATAAGGAAAAGGAAATGCTGTTGCATTTCTTTTATAAACAATCTAAAGGCACTAAAGCCCCCCTTTGAGCAGTGTTTTTAATTTTTCTGGCTGAAACTCACTGTATTAAAACAATAACGTTTGTATCAAATATTATTATACTAACACAAAATGACTTCCAACAACTTAACACTTCGTTGAGCAAACACGGTCAGTCACCACCTGAAGCAGACCTCGGTGGAGGTCGAAAGCATTTGTGGAGGTAGTTAAAGACATAACACTTGTACAAAAAGGTTTTTCGTGGATTGTTATTATTATACTATATTTAATATATAGCATTGACAAAAAAATCCAAAATAAGCAGTAATAAAATGAAAATAGAGAAGATTTTATTTAATATGATTGATGGGCTTGAAATATTGTGATGGTAGGAAATTTGAATTATATTTTTAGTGAGTATATTTAAATTTTAGTAATTACTACATCTTTTAATAAAGGAATAAATATAACATATATATACTGATATAAATAAAAGATAAATCTTATTAAAATAAATTGATAAATACAATTAAATTTCAAAATTATAAAATATAATGCAAATAAAACATTAAATTATATGAATTCTTTGAAATTCATGAAAATTACCAAGTGAAATATTTTACTACAAATCTACACTTTTTATAGTCACTGTAACAACCAGTAATTTATCTATTTCTGCATTTATGTTACAGTATGACACTACCATTGTTATACTTTACACACAAAGCCCCTTTTTATATCCTTGCAAAGGACTTGATATAAAAAGGGGCTACATGTGTGTGTCAAGTATTGTAATGGTAGTGTCATACTATAAATTTCTTTTGTTTTTTGGTTGTAGTGACCCATTATGTGACTCGCAGATGCTGTTTGGAAAACATTACTTTAGAGGATGTTATTGGAAAAATGCTATACAGGATTCATAAGGCATACTTTAAACATGAGATTAAAAGAACACAAAGAAGGCTGTGCAAGAGAGATGATGAACATGACAGTAATGTAAGATTTCTGACAGGGGGATAAGATTTCTGAAGGAAGGGGGAGGTTAATCCTTCTTATCAAGATGAACAAGGGATGTGAGTGTAATGTGGGTGTGGTTGTAGACACTAAGATAGGTCACTTTTACATAGCAAGCCATTTATTTGGAAGATAATGCTTACATAATTCTGGTTAAGAACTTCTTCTCTAGGACGGAAACAAAATTTTTAAGTTCAGTCCATAATTTCATTGGTTATCCAATGGCAATCTGTCAGAGTTTTAACAATGATCAAATATCCTGGGGCAGATTGGCTGGAAGTTGGACACAATTTGTGGAGCAAAGATGAAGTGATGAAGATAAAGTCCAAGACAAGAGGAAAACTGTCATAGAGGACAAACAGGTTGAGCGAGGGAGAAGCAACCATGGTTTGTCCTTGAATTTTGGGGTTTTTAAAGGATTTATGTCTGAAATTTTTAATTTGATTGGCTCTGATTTTCTTTCTCCACCTTCCAATTGGTCCCATTCTTGTTTGCAGGTGAAATCAGATCAGATCAGGTGCAGGAAAGATTGCTCTCCATTAATCAATTTGACACCTTCATTCATCTTTGTCTGCAAGTGTTGATCAAACTTTGAAACTTTCTCTTGTATCTCATGCGATAATATTTTATTTTCTGACACCTAAGAATTTTTTAATATTTTTATTAATTGCAATGTGATAGTTTTTCTTTCAAAGGAATGCTATATTTAATTGTTTATTTCCAAATTTTGTCATGTCTATGAGCTTCAGAGTCAAAGCTTGATTTTCCTGATTGACATTCTAAATATTCCAACCTGTTAGTTTGTGTCAACCTGTGACCTCATGCAGTCAACTGTATTGTTTCTTTCATACCTTTGCGACAGATCTATTTTTATGCATTTTTTTGTAACAAAATATTTTCTTAGATAAATTGAATTTTAATGAGGGATTTAGACTGCCTGAGACCTCACATGAATGGAGGAGGCCCTGGGGATTGTCTGAGAGAGAGTGAAGATGTTGGAAGAAAATAAGAGAAGTTGAGAATATAACATCTACAGAAAAGATAGTGATTTTGAAGAAAAATATGGAAGAGAAAGCAGTTAACAGTAGGGATTGAACAATTTGGCAGCATGAAATGGCAAATAAAAGAGAAGAAACTTTGAAAGGTTCAAGAGTAAAAAAGTAAGTCATTAAAATGGAAGGAATCAGTTAGAGGAGTATTGCTGATGTTGACAAATTTAATGATCATATGCTGATTGCATCTTATCAAAAGGCATTTGAAGTGCATTTGAAGAGTTCATTTAGATGATGTAGCAATCAACATTTGAAAGGAACTTCTGTAGATGAGCTTAGGAAGCTTGAAAGTGTTTGAGACTATTTAAAACTTTTTTGTATGTTCCAATAAAGGGAGATTTAGTTTAGTGTTATTGTTGATTTCTATAGTTTTTAAAAACTTTAATCATCCTAAATAATCTTAAAACATCTTTTTTATGAACATATAAATATATTTAAAATAATCTATATTTATATTTTGTTATAATTTTCTATGTTAGAATAACATATATTTGATTAAGTTTCAGCTTTAAGCTGTCCACCAATACAGACTCCAAAAAATGGATATGTTGATTGTACAAATTATATACATCAGGGAAGTATTTGTACCTTTACCTGTGATGAAGGGTATATTTTAGTTGGAGAAACATCAACATCATGTAGAGGGGATAAGACATTTGTCACCTGGACTTCATCATTACCAACTTGTGAAAGTAAGTATATACAACTATTTAAACTTTTAAATAATTTGTTTTTGAAAATAATTGATTGATATACAGTGGGTGATCGGTTAACGAACAGATTGGATAACGAACAAATCGGATAATGAACACTTTTGCGAAGGATTTTTATGTTCGGATAACGAACACCCCACAGAACAAACACAAGAAGAAGCGATGTAAAATAATGAATACCGATTGGTCTTCCCTTATCTTTGGGCAACAATTCAAAACTTTTCAGAGTGCGGGAGACGTTGACATCGATGCTCAACCTGGTATATACTGATCGGATAGTATTCCTCCGAACTTTGAAATTCTCCCTTGTAATTTCAGCCTTTTATTTTTCTGACGAAACAATTCTTTTATGTATTTGCGAGACTGTCAGGTAGGCGCTTGTTAAGTTTTGCATCTGTTTTTCTTTTCAAAAGGTGAGAGTATAATAGCAAAGGTAGAGAGTGGGCAGAAGATGCCTAATGTTGCTGGGCAGTATGGCGTGAACAGGTCTACAGTAGGCCGCAGTTCAATTTTATTTAAGAAAAATACTGTATAATCAAGAAGACTCAAGCAGCTAAAGGAGTAACAAAAATCACATCTGAGAAATAAAGAACATCGAAGAGTTCATAATGGAACCTGAAATGGATCTGACAACAGAAGAACGCCAAGAACTCTTGAATGAAGAACACCAAGAAACTCGGCGAGATATGTTTTCTTCTGAAAAAGAGGATTAATGCTGATATCTGTTAAAGATCCTTTGAAGAAGTGGGATGATGTCAGAACAACGGTCTTAGAATGGCATCCAAACCAGGTTGAGGCTTGGGGATTTCTACAATTGCAATGCTATTAATTACTTACGAAAAATCCTGAAGAAGAGAGAAAAGCAATCAAAATTAGACAGATTCTTTAACCCTTTCAAACGGAAAAAACATGACTAATAAAAACGCAAGACTGTGTATGTATGTATTTTTATTATTACATATAAATAAACGTAGTAAGAAAGTATATATTTTTGATTTTCGGGGGTCTCCAGAACGAATTAATTAAATTCCCGTTAAAACCTATGGTAAATCGATAATCGGTTAACAAACAATTCGGATAGTGAACAAAGTCTTGGAATGGATTATGTTCGTTAACCGATCACCCATTGTATATATGTCAAGCAATTATTTTCAAAAACAAATATATATATATACTATATCCATGGTTTTGATTTATATATATATATATATGCACAGTAGTAACTCAAAATAAATCAATATTAATCATATACTTCTTAGTCCTATGTCCTTGCATGGTGATATTACGAATTGATGGCTTTAATTGTATCTTTCCACTGCTCACATCTTTTCACCTGTGCCATTTGGATGGCTTCATACATTGTATGCCCTGTAATCATCAATACTTGGTCTGCCCACCTAATCCAACATCTGCCTCTATGGTATTTGCCATTGATCTTTCCTTCTAGAATTTGCTTCTCAAATCCATTTTTGTCTGGAAATATGTCCCAAGAAGTGAAGGTAGGATTGGTATATTTTAGTGGTAAGGCGTGTTGTGATTTTCAGTTGATTTAGGATGGAGCAATTTGTTCAGTGCTCCATCCAAGAGATTCTCAGCATTCTTCTATATGTCCATATTTTAAAGGAATCACATTTCTTCTGAGAAGTGGCATTTATGGTCCAGGTTTCTGAGGCATAAGTGGCAATTGGAAAAATAAGTGTTCTTATGAGCTTTAGTTTGTTAAAAATAATGATTGCAGAATCTTTCCAAATTCTAAATAATTTAGAGGTTGCATTGTGAGCAAAGCAAATTCTGTGTTTAATTTCATTATTGCATTCTCCTTTATTTATAAGAAGTGATCCAAGGTAAACAGATTTATTCACCACCTTATAGCCTGCAATTTCCTTAGTCTGTGTCAAAGAACAATCAATTATCATAACTTTCGTTTTACTTCCATTAATCAGCAATCCATATTCCCTGCTCTCAGTTTCAAGACTTTTCGTAATATATTCAAGTTCTGATTCACTGGATGCTATAATAAATGTATCATCAATGTATCTCAGGTTGTTAACTTTATGGCCCCTGATGGAAATGCCTCCATCCCAGTTATCTAATACCCTTCTCATGATTATTTCAGAATAAGCATAAAAGAGTAAAGAGGAAAGAATACATCCTATTCAAAACTATGTTTAATACATTTACATCTGAAGCTGGTGTCTTACACCAGCTTCAGATGTAAATTAAGACACCAGCTTCAGATGTAAATGTATTAGACATAGTTTTGTTAACTCTTATTCTTGCAGAGTTGTTCTCATATAAATTTCTGATCATCGAAATAAGATGTCTTGGGACTCCTAAGTTCTGGAGAGCGGGCCACAATTTGTGCCATTTTACACAATCAAAGGCTTTGGTATAGTCTATGAAACAAAGGTAAGCTTTGACATTAAATTCATAGGCTTTTCCAATTATTTGTCGAGCGTTCATGATTTGTTCATGAGTTCCTTTACTAGGGATAAATCCCGACTGTTCTTCTGCTATTTTAGGTAATAGGAAAGATTTCAAATGGTTATTAAATATTTGTAGCATTATTTTACTGGCATGGTTAATTAGGCTGATAGTTCTCTAGTTACTACAATCTGTTGGTGCACCTTTTTTATAAATTGGAATAAATATTGATTTACACCATTCCTCTGGCCATTTCTCAGATTTCCAAATTAAGGAGCAGATTTTATGAATATATCAACACCCACTTCTCCCATTGCTTTTAAAATTTTAGACTCCTCTGATTTAAGAATAGATAGTTCAACTTTCCTGTCCATCCATTCTGAAGTTGATTATTATCATTTGTTTGTCCAGTGTCTTTATAAAGTTTCTTACAATACTTCCTCCAGACATCCGCAATCCCTTCTGCATCAGTTATGATTTCATTTTCATCATTTTTAATTAATTGTGTGCATGGTTTGAACTCTCTTGCTAGATATCTAACTTTATCATATAGTTCACAAGTCTGATTATTTGATGGACTTCAATTTCATTGCATATACTTTCAATATAATCATTTTTGTCTTTCTTACAAGCCTTTTTGATTTTTTTTTGTCTAGCTCTTTCTTCTTTTCATCTGTAACGATTGCTGAAGTTAATAATTTTTCCTTTCATCTATTAATTTAAGGGTGCTATTTGTCATCCAATGTTTCTTTTTCTGTGGCATATGTTGTATGGTGCATTGTTACTCAGTTAAAATCCAACTTTTTGTTTGTGTCCATAAATCATCTGGGTTGTTTGTAAAGGATTGGAGGGTCTAAATTTCGGAGAGTCTGTTGTAAGATTGAACTAGCTGGAATCTCAAGTCTTGGGTTGATCTTTGATATTTTTGTTATATGGAGTTTTAATGTTACTTCTGCTTTTAGTAGTTTATGATCAAAGTTACAGAATGCTTCAGGTCTTGCTCTGACATTATTTACTGATGATCTCCATCTTGTTCTTATTAACACGTAATCAATTTGGTTTTTATATTCACCTGTTGGGAAGGTCCAAATAGAAAGATGCCGATAATGGTGTTTGAACATGGTGTTATTGAAAAACTGTTATTGATTGCAAACTGAAGGAGTCTATTTCCTCTCTCATTTCTGGTGCCCAGTCCATATTGTCCTATAATGCACCGTAGATTATCATCATTTTTTGTATTGCCTATCTTTGCATTAACATCTCCCATTATTATCAATATGTCCTTCTGTGGTATTTTTGTGATGATATTTTCAATTTGTGTGTACACTATGTTCACTTCAACATCTGAAGCAGCCGAAGTGGGCATATAAATCTGAATAATATGAAGTTTAACTGGCCTGGAAGATATTGTAATGTGGTATTCTGTGCGACTTGAATAACGACGATGTAATATAAAGAACAAGACTTTATTTTCAAGCAGACACAAGATACATAAATATACAGGTTCCAACTCTATTGCGTCTTCCTCTCGTGAGTACAGAGACAAACTATGGCAACTGTTGCACCAAAAATGAACCTGTTCAATCACTACATGGACTCGCATATACAATATTCACATCACGTAATTACATAATCTTCAATCACACTTAACAACTAACTTAATCCTATATCCTTAACCTACTTAATATTAAGATAGAAAAAGATTAGCGAATAGGAAGATCTTAGGAAAGAATGAGTTTTTAAGAGAGGAGGAATCCGTTGCTCCATGTGTTTCTTGATGACAATGAAAGGGTCCAATGTTGAGATTTTAAGATAACCCACTTTTTGTTTTGATACTAAAAATTTTCCCTTATTTTGGCTCTCTCATGGCCCACCATTGTTCCGACATACCAACTGTATGTACCAACAATCACGCTCCTTTCTTACAACTTGGAGCTCACCAATCGCATGTCTTTACTCTTAGATGTCTCGGCCAGAAAAGTCTCTACTATCGGGACTTGTCCCGAGGGTCTCGTCTTCTCTATTGTTTCATTCCCCACACCTGCAGAAGTTGGGGTGATGTGGATGGAATGTTCTCAAAGCCGGTTATTCCATCTGAGGGGAAAGTGTTAGATAAAGTATTAGAAAGGAAAGATCAGAAAAAAGAAAGAAACAAAGAACAAAGGAAAGAAATAAAAATATACTTATATTATTACATAATATATACATTAGTATGGTGTACAGCCACAGTAATTTTGATTATGTGGTCGTTGATAGGTTCATAGCCTTCAACAAATTTTGTTAAGTATTTGTCAATAACAAAGGCCACTCCATTACATCCATTTTTGGTCATACCTGAAACATATATTGTGTGGTCAATTGTATCAAACTGACCATTCTCTCTCCAATGTGTTTTGGAGATGCCACAAATCATTATATTCTCTTGATTAAGTTCTCTTTCTACTATGTAGAGCTTTTCATCCTCTTACATTCCAAGTACCTAAGGATAAATTTCTCCTTTAGATGTAATTTTAAATTTCTTCCAGATGCATATTTTGCCTGTGGTGCCTGGTTGC